CACCCAAGGACACCTCAAAAATTGAAATCAAAAAAATTAACCACGTCATTAATAGACAACCCACAGTGTAGCTGTGGATATTGTAAACAAGTGGTAAACGTGGCCCAGTCCCAAGTATTTTGTTTTTTTAACTGTGTTGTTTCCATTTCAAAGTGACCTTGTTTTGTTCCCCTTAAAATGGCACACTTTAACCATTGGAACATTTTTTAATGTTCTATTTTGACTAAAATATGGGTTCCTGACATCTGCAAATCATTGCACTCAGTTTTTATGAACATTTTACACAGCAACTTTTGTGGAAATTTATTTGTAATAAAATGATACGATACTATCACCATACTTTGCTCATGATACGATGATATTAAGATTTTTAACATTTTGTGCGTTTTGCAATAACATATATTGTGATTTATCACATTTTCTTTTACTTAAAATTATGTAGTCTAAGTAAAATATTGTCAATATCTGTTTAAACATGCTGGCAATCTGTCTACATTTGTAAAGTAGAAAATAATTACTTTCAAACCTTTGTCAATTTCTCCAAGTGACTGCAGTCAGTCCAAGTAAGACCTTTTGCAAAAAGGTTGACTCCTATCAGATGATCCGTGCAATCAAAAGTGCAACACCTTCAAGATCTGGGCAACCATTTAGTCACAAGTTACGATCAGTCGCAGCACGTGGAAAAATTCACAACAATCAACAACAGATTCCAGGAGGTTGCTGTCCTATTTTTACTTGTGTAACTGAGCTATCAGCTTGCTGTCAATCAGGAGGTAGCTTTGTCAATTTTGCTCTGCTAATGTTATCTCGGGAAGGTAGTGCACTTTTATTCGTGGTATTTTCAGAGTGCAATTTATTTAATAAAATATAAATATTTAATATTAATATAATATTTAATATTGTAAAATATAAAATTCAAGTTTGTTATACTCCGCCCACCCAAGTATGACTATTGATCCGACCACAGCACTGCAGTGAAAACTGGAGGTTACAGCTCCAAGAACAGCTTTCATATGAAGGAAAACTGTTGTACTTTACTGGCCTGGTACAGGCCAAAGGCTGAAACAAAGCTGCTCTTAATCCTACAACTGTTGCTGGATCTTTAACCTCTTCAGACTTCATGTTCTTATTGGGACACCTTGGAAGTATTAAGTTGTGCCTCTTCTCCATTTCTGCCAAACATTCATTTTCACATCTACATGCACCAATAAACACTCAACATTTTAAAGGTTTTGTGTTGTGAAACCTTAAAAGTTCATCATACAGCTAATAATTTTATCTTTAGCTACAAAGATCCTGGCTTAAGATGCAGAAAGACAGTGCTGCGGAGTCATTTCAGCCAAACAATCTTTATACTAAAACGTGAAGTAATCGGCTTCCATAAAGAAAAGACCCTTATCCATAACTAATAATAACCCTTCAACTTCCGTCAATAAGTCTCTATTTCAACAAACCAGGCATACAATCCACTTTTTCACGTAATAAATGTTTTATAAATGTCTTTACATTTTCAACATGTTTTAACTCATGTAGCTTTGTGAAAAAGAAGACTGAGTGTCATGTTATAGGCAGAACAAGGCACATCATACATTCATACAATGAACTGTCTTTCGACTGCACTCAGACAAAGTCTGCACACGAAGCATGCCACACTTAAAAACATCTCATTTCCGTCAGATACATGATTAAAAAAAATCATCAGCTTGCATGCAGGATTACACAACAGTTTGGTGGATGTGCGTTAATACAGCGTTAATTCAGGTCTTTGCTCTCGACCTCAAGCACAGAAACAAAACAAACTTCAATCTTATAGCCAGTAAAAATAACTCATAGTTCCTTTGAAATCCTTTTTTTTTTATAATTTCCTGTTTAATCTCAGAAAGAGCAGAATGACACGGATAATAAAAGAATAAATAATTATAAAAAATATACACGAGGAGATCAGAGTGACAGCGTCCTAAAACAGTTGCGCTGAAGATGGAAACCTCGTCATGTAAACCTCAGTAATGGAAGTAGTGCAATAGATGGAAAACACAGCAGATCCCAGATGAGCCTAAAAATAACTCATCTGAGAGGAAAAAAACCCAAAAACCTGGCTGAAGAAATACTTTAAATATGTTTAACGTCACCTGACTTGTGCTTTTAACAGATCAGAGGACACGCAGAAACTATCACTGAGGTTTTGTCTAAAGGTCCAACACTTATTACCAGGAAGTTTCCTTGAAGAAAAATTATAAAAAAAAAAAAAGGAAATTTGGCGCTAATTAAAATAAAAATGTTCTCTTTTTTTAAAAAAGAAAAAAGAAAAAATAAGAGCGGCTCCATTTAAACACTATATTATGTTAAAGCTCTTATGCTAAAAGGCCCAGTTTTACAAAAAGCTGGAGGTGACTTTTGTCCTTATTTGATGGCAACACTCATAAAATAAATTCAAAAAATTCTCCTGCCTAAAACAAGTCATCTTTAACTTTTGCACAAATAAAAATCTCCAGAATAAACAAGGAGCTTTGGAAGTACAGAAACTAGCCTTTTTCACCTTTTCAAGAGTTGATGCTAAGCTAAGCCAAGCTAGCCAAGGTTTTTTTTTCATGTTAATAAGGAAGTTTTTCCTTTCCACTGTCACCAAGTGCTTACTCATAGGGGGTCGTTTGATTGGTGACTGGATTATTAGATGGATTATAGAGTGTTTACAGTATAAAATACCGTTCTTGTGATTTTGTGCTATGTAAAACTAAATTAAAACTAATAAATAAAACTAAATTAATTACAGCAGTGACAAACTATCACTACTTATGTCCTCAATATTTGTCAATATCAGTATGCTTTGAACAATAAGATAAAGTTGTCATTAAAATCTTAAAAAAAGACAGAGTCAATTTGCTATCAGTCTGTTTTTCTTGTAATATATTAACTGTTAAAATGAATGAAAATCACATATCGGTTGTATTTTAATTTTCTAATAAAGTACAGATGTTTGGTCTCCCTGTATCGATACAACATCAGCATACAAAATGCTGTGATACTACAATGTATCGATTCTTCCCGCTCTAGATTTAATGGATATATATTGGATACACAAATGGATTTTGTTTGATTGTAGTTGATTCATGTGGACATTTTGCCCGAGCTGAACTATAACTTTAGAAACGGACAATCAAGACCTCACCAATTAAACGTCTCTGGCAGCGCCTCGGTAGCAAAACTGGTTTAAATTGCCACTACAATTATCAAATACCCGCTTTCTTCCTCTTCAGCCTCGCATATTCGCCTCTTCTGGCTGAAGTGGCACATTCAAGTTCTCTTTTCTTTTTATTCTGCTGCTCGCATCCTGTCAACCATTTAGTCATATACGAGTTGACTGATACAGCTAACGTACGATGACTGAACAACAGCTAGAACGGGCGTCCTGAAAAGGTGAAAGCATCTTCCTCAAGCAGCTGCTAAAACCTTTTTTCACTTAATAAAAGGGTGATTATTTTTGAGAAACGTAAATGAAGTGCTCTGTTTTCAATACCTGGAACCAAATTGCTTTTTTTTCCTTCTTTTTCTAGGAAACTTCACATTTATCTGTAAATTGTGTTGCGTAAAGCAAAGCCACCTGAAGATGGTATTTACACAATAATCAGCGTCAATCAAGGAGTGCTGGACAAAGAGAACGTCAAAGTATTAAAAGTGCTGCGTAAAAAGACAGTATAAAATGTTGTGTGTGTGGTCTGAGGCACCAGATGTTAAGACTTTGGACATAACAGATGAAACAAACAGACACATCTCAGCCTCAATCATTAGATACCGTTTCACCCAAAACACACAGGAGTGCTTGATTTGTCCAAATTCATCCGGCTGCATGCTTGATTGCAATATTGTCATTCAAATAGCTCCATTTGCATATTTTTTTTGTGTCATCACCACCTTTAAAGGTTGTTTTTTTTTTTGTTTTTTTTTTTGGCATCCAACTCAGACTCCGCCCCCGCTTCGGTCCACCGACACCGGTTCCCTCTGATCCAGAGTCTCCTCTGCAGTTTTCATCAGAATGGCCAGGCGGCTGTCCGACACGTGTCCCTTCTTCACGGCGCTCATCAGCTGCGGAGGGAACAGCAGAGAACAGAGTACGTGGCGTGTAGGACAACGGCGGGAAAGG